TTCTCTATTCTGTAGATAGAAATGTAAATCCATCACAGAAGGGATAAACAGTCACTAATAAGCAGTAACATAAGCCTTTTGGCTGGCAAATTGAAAAACATGGCTGCCATCAACAAAAATATCTTCACAAAAGGCGAATATTGGTCATAACTCATTAACCATTTGTCCAATCATCATAAAACTTAGTAGATATCTCTGGGCCGTGATAGGGAACAGGCCTAACAANGTCTGAATCAATCACTTGTGGAACTTCACTGACTTTTCAAAAAGTTATCGTTGCTTTAGTCAAAGATGTGCAGATAGTCAAACAAGCGTTTACCAGCTTTCACCTTGTGAATCTGTGTGTGTGTGTGTGCGTGTTTCTGTGTGTGCATAGATTTTGTCACTGCTATACTGACTTGTATTAGCTAAAGTTAGCAATGGCTCCAGCGGTCAAAAAGAGCATAATGTCCGTTAAAGGCTAACTTTAACCCAGACTGGTCCCATGTAAAGACACAGGGGCAGAGAGAAGCAGACTTGCATGCAGTTCTAGAGTTGCAGTTGAACTTGTGTACGCCATTGCCTAGGAATGTGGTCCTGTCAGGCTTCTGGATGTAAATAAATCAAGCGCTCCTTGCTCTCAATGGAGAAAATGGTGAGTTTATTTAGCCAATGAGACAGATTCTTTATAAGTATGGTATGTAACTTGATATTCCTCTTTAAGTGAGGTAAATTTGCCTTAAATCAGTGACCACCCCATGATCTCATGTATGTTTGTTTTCTGTTACTATATGTTTGTTCCCTGCTTATTTCATAAAATGAAAATATTCATAAATAAAAAGAAAAAAGAAAAAAAAAGAAACTGAAAACCAGTGACACTGAAAGAACAGTGACAGCGTTAAAATAACTGTCACTGAAAAAAAGACAGACATGAAAATGAAATCTGAAGACTGACATTGAAAAACACATCATCATACAGAAAATATAAAAATTCAATAAGATAAAATTGAAAGATTGTAGTTTCTTTTAATGCCAGTGTTTCATTTTTCAGTGGAAATTTATTTCAGTGCCAGTTCAACATTTTTTAAATACAAATTTTTCAGTGCCATTGTTTCCTTTTTCAGTTCAGGTTTTTGTTTTCAATGCCAAATAATGTAAGTGTCAAAATGTTACTAATGCCGGTGTGATCCCTATCCCTGTGATCTCCAGTTAGGGTTCTAACCCCGAAAGGATAGAAAGGATATTTTTGTTACAAATGAGCAAGATCAAAAAACGTGCCCGCCATCAACCAAAATATCTTCACAGAGGGCAGGGCTTAACTAATATTGGCCATAACTCATTAAACATTTCTCTGATTATCATAAAACTTGGTCCATATCTTCGGGCCGGGACAGGGAGTAGGCCTACCAAAGCATTTTGAGCCTAACCTCCATAAATACCAAAAATACATACCTCGAAATCTGGTGAACAGATTTTCACTAAAATTGGTGCACATGTTCTGGAATATTAAGGAAAATCTGAAGTGCAATATTGATTGATGAAAGTGGGCGGGGCCATCTTAAGCCTTTGCTCAATTTGCTGAGAGCTGCAACGAGCCAGACACACAAAAATTGGTATCATAGCTCCAAATGGTGTGTAAATGCTAATCCCATTCAGCCATATGGTTGCGCTAAATTAAGAGTCAAAAATTGTAAAAAAATTTGAAAGGCTGCCCCCGCTACACAGAGAGTCCCATTGTCTTCAAATTTCCCTCTCAGCTACAGGTCAACATTTTCTACAAAAAAGCCTCTGTGATAATAGCGACGACCATCATGGATTTTGAGTTAATTAACATAAGATTAAAAACGGTAAAATGAATAGAACTTTTTGAATTTTTACTTTATGAATACCAACTTTGGTATGCAGCCTTGGGTGACAGATGCACGTTTCTATTAGAAATGAGCAAGATCGGTTGAAAAACATGGCTGCCATCAACAAAAATATCTTCACAAAAGGCGAATATTGGTCATAACTCATTAACCATTTGTCCAATCATCATAAAACTTAGTAGATATCTCTGGGCCGTGATAGGGAACAGGCCTAACAAAGTATTTTGAGCCTGATCTCTAGGGGGCGCCACAAATACCAAAAACATTTACCTTTGAAATGTTGCCCTCGCCACAACAAGGGTCCAATCATCTTCAAATTTACCTCACACCTACAGCTTAATATTCTGTACAAAAAGCCTTGTTCCTAAAACCTATAACAAAAAGGTTGTTATAGGGAGTAAGCCTACCAAAGGCCTACCTATTAGCCAGAAGTCGGCTGCTTTTTTCTTTTGAGCGCAAAAGGGTTAGAACCTGCAGATTGCTGCTTGCAGCTATCATTCTGAGCTGTTTTTCTTTTTCAGTTTGACTCTTTCCCTCGATAAAATGCTTGACTTCAGGGCCTTTTGAAGACAAAGCGTTCTTTGTCTCATCATTTTTACCTCAATAAAATACCTTGGCTATAAAATGTCCCTTCGGCTGCAAACCGCTCCAAAACACAGTTCAGCCGGCATATTCGTAAAAATAAGGCTATAAAGAATGATGTTCTGAAAAACAATTTGAAGATTCAGGAAGATTTGGGAGTGGAAGACACAACAATGTCCAGGCTGTTCTCAGCAACAGACTAAAGTAAAAGACTTATCACTAAAAGCTTTTCTTTAACTCACAGGTCAGTCTTATTTCCAACTCTCATCCCCAAGCTTTAGGTACAGGCAAAAGAATGAGATCACTGATAGAAACTGCTGAGATGAGATTCTAGCTAGGGGGGCAGTCTTCATTCAGTGTGTTAGGGTACGTAAAGACCTCAGGCTCCAGCAGCCACTTCAGCAGCATACTGCAGTGATCTGGGCCCTCAATGAGATTTCCTCCATGCAGGAGGCCTCACCTCCCTTTAGAGGTGGTTTGGACACAAGCATAGTAGGGAAATCTGGAGCAAGATCCTATCCGGAAACATCAGATTAAAGGATAAACACTTACAAGTACAACAGCCCATCCCCTGGCGTAAATTTCTCATAATTAACTGCTCTCTTTCACAGTCCAACTTACCGATCCGGTCATCATATCATACATCAGGGCCCCCAGGCTCCACCAGTCTACTGCTCTGTTGTGACCTGACCTGGTAAGGATCTCTGGAGCCCTGGAAGAGAAGAAGACACACAGAGAAGGGAGCCGCACACAAACAGAAGATTAAAATTATGATACATTTATAACTTCCATTACACCATTCTGCTTTCATTTTCTCTAGTTAGTAGATGATATTACAACCTCTTGTATATTATAAGAAGAACTATAGAACACACAGGAGGATGACACATGTTCTCATAGAACAGTAGATGGGGATATAAAAAGCAGCATCCGCTTTTACATGTGGTCTCAAAGGTGTTAAAAACACGCTATATGTCTATGACAGGAAGTGTAGTGTTACTTACATGTATTCTATGGTGCCACAGAAGGTGTGTGTGACTGTTCCATCATGAATTGACTCCTTACAGAGGCCAAAGTCAGTTAGCTTGATGTGTCCTTTAAAAAAGAGCAAAACATACTGAAATATGCTTTACATGTCAGGCTAACTTTAGATTAGAAGTAGGAGAAAACGACACTATCACAAAATTATGATTCAACTACAGTGCAAAGCAGGGAACAAGAAACTACACAAATAAAGCACACAGTGCTCACATTTATTGAGGCTCTTCAGGTCATTTTTGGTCAAACTGAACGGTACCACTTTACAATAACACTACTCTTAAAGGATTTATGAATGGTTTATAAAAAGACTAATTAGCTTGTTAACATTTTATAAATCATTTATAAGCTATCATAACACAGATAATAAAAAAGAGCAACAGCGACCTATTGCTTGCCAAATAGTGAGCCCACATGTATCTGTCCTGTTAATCCTCACGACTCATTAGTCACTGAGCTTTCTTTGTTTTTTCTCCATCATCCAGCATTTGTAGCTGCTGCTTCATCACATTTGTTGTTCAGTTACTAGCAATGAACTACCGTCAGCCTCTCAATGGTTCATTCTCTAAGCGTTGCCAATATTGCTTACCTACACATGCTATCAGCAGCTGTCCTCATTGTGATCATAGGTGTTGATCAGATTGTTCTGAACAGTGGATATTTAAATTAGAGATGCTTTTTGCTGCTTGCTCTCTTCTTTAGGACTTTAGCATTCCAGGTAGAACACAGTCGGTAACCTTCCTTTACTTGGTGAACTGCTCACCCAATACTGTCCCACTCTTCACACATCTGTGGCCTGTTGTTCACTCAGTTGATTACAAACATTTGTAACTGGTAAAAGTGAGTCTTATTGTAAAGTGTAAAACCCATCACCATGTATTAATGAGTTACTATAAGGCTCTCTTTTACCAGTTATAAATGGTAGTAACTCATTAGTAAGATTAATGACTAGTAAGCATCAACTTGATCTTGCAAAATAGTTAGTCTGCATCAATGTATGAAAACTGTGTTGTAACTTGTTTAAATATTTTGTTTATGGATCATAAAGAACCTTATTATAAACCATTTATAAATCCTTATAAGGGCAGTCTTATTGTAAAGTGATACCCACGAGGTTAAAGGTGTGGATTTCCATGAGAGAGCTATATTATATTCTAATCTTTTAATAGGCCTACACATGCTTCATTAACTAAAAGGTAAATTTCACTATAAGATTAAGCATTATTCATAGGATGTTTCACCACAGTGATCAAGTGGATCTGTTTGTGTTTGAAAACAGTTCAAGTAAATTCTGAAAGATTTCAGCAGCCCCACTCAGATGGATTGTTGATCATTCTGCATTTTGAGGCAGTGAAAATGTTATTATCATCTTGGTTTGATCGTATTTACATATTTTCTTAGACAACATTGCATTACCTTGGTGACTAAGCATGATGTTTTCAGGTTTGAGATCTCTGTAAATAATCCCGTTAGAATGGAGATGACCTAGGGCCAACGTGATCTCTCCTAGATAAAAACTACAAATACACAGAAGTTATTTAAGAAACAATTCAGTATCATTACCTCAACTAAGCTATACAAACTTTAAATTACAGCTTATGTGCAAACACTGAAAAGAAGCTATCCCTACCAAGCAGTGTCCTCCATGAAGATGCCCTCCTTCTCCAGCTGCATGAACAGCTCCCCTCCTGGTGATAAACAACAGTAGAGTCATTTGAGATTTTTCCTCCAGTACTATATAATTCCTTCACATCTCTATTCATCCCTGTTTTTCTCGCTCCACATCTTCCCTGCTATCCATTCAAAAAAACTGTTGTCATAATTGCTAAAAATGAAGGGATCTGATACACATGCACTAACGTTTGTCCCTCCTCCTATGTTTTTAATCCTCCCCTTCCATCAGTCCATCCCTCAGTGCCTCTGTCTTACCACTTAGACACTCAAGTATGAGGTAGAGCTTTCCCCCAGTCTGGAAGGCGTAGAGCAGATCCACGATGAATGGGTGCCTCACCGTCTCTAGGATCTCCCGCTCTGCTCGTGTATGGGCCGTGTCTTTGGCATTACACACGATCTTAGCCTTGAGACAAACATGTTGAGAGAGGGAAAGGAAGGGAGGATAAAAGGGAGGCAGCAAGGAAGGAAGGACAAATACATGGAAGGGAGGAAATGAGAGGCAGGTTACGGACAAAGTGGATTGTAAAGGGAAGCAGCATGAGAGAGACACATGGAGGAACAGCTTCATACAATGAACATCTTATGAGTTGTGTCTCAAGGGAAAGCTGTAAAACTCTGTCAACGTACCTTTTTCAGGACCTTCATGGCAAATATCTTCCCCATCTGGGCACCTTGAACCTTCCTCACCTGGAAAACCTTGAAGAAGACATTTTTCTTTCAAATAAAAAGCAAACAAAAGAAAGACCTTGTAAAGAGTAACTAAAATTAGGACTGTGCAGAATGAGATATTTTATGTAGTGCTAGATTGATTAATAATAATCAATTGATCCTTATTGAGTCATTTATCATGCAAAAATGCCATCTATTTAGTTTGAATGCCTCAGCATTCACAGTATTGTTATCCATATAATTTTTCTTCTTCTGTACGTATTTCCGTACATATTTACACACAACAGTTTTTCTGCTACAAAAACCATTCAACTATCAAAACCTTCAGCTCGATCAGAACATTCAAGCTCGTATTCAATTTTTTTCTTCTATTTATAATTTTCGGTTTATTAAGTTTTTCCTGCAATTTCGTCCCAGTCAAATGAATGGAGAGACTGTTCAAATTCTTAAAAACTTCAGCCTCTTTGAACTTCACCTACTTCAGCATACTTTCAGCTAGAGACTTCATTCGAACTTTAAACTGTTCACAAGACTTTCAGCCATAACTTTTTGATATCTTGTACAGTTTTTGATTCATCAGTTTAAATTGTATGCTTTTTTTCTGACAAATTTTGAGTTTATATTGGGCGTATATTGCATGGAATGTTTAGGGCCGAGTGGTTGACATCATCTCTAGAGTGGGAGAAGCTCTAAAACTTAAAGAAAATCTGTTTAAATCGTCCTCACAGCCACATATTTCAGTTTCTACACAATTCAGTAGAATTTTGTACTGTTGTACTGTACAGGAAATGCCTTTTCTAGTTGCTGGATGCAGCTTCTTTCCTCCATTATATATATATATGTGTAAATGGATTATTTCTCTGAGTTTTAGTGTAGACATTATCTGACAAACAGTTAATATCATGGCATAATGTTTACAGTATCCTTGGTAGGAGAAAACTAGTAGTAGGTGCAACTCCTGCCCAGAAGTTGAATATTGGCTACGCAATAAAACCTTGCTGAAAAATTGCTTTCCCTTCGTTCAACTGACATTTAACATCAAAACCTATTAAATCACATTTACAATATGTTCTGGGATTCAATTTCTGAGTAGTGTTGGAGTATTTCAGGCTATTAAACCTAAAACTGTTTAATGATTTACACTAGTGGATATTTAGGTGCTAAGGGTGAGTTGTGGTTTAAACATCTGCCTCAAGGAAACTATTTACAACCACTGATAAGGTAAGAGAGGTGGAGAAGTGGTAATTTATGTGTAAACACTAACTGTCTTCTTTTCGGCGCGCTGAATTTTAGGTTTCACTTAGGGTCGGAGTCAGATGGGAAGGAGGAAGCCAGCAGAGCCAATCAGAAGACGACAAAACGCCCATGCACATTTCTTTGTTTGTATCTGTATAAATACACTGGATCAGGGAAAGTTAGGTTGTCAGACTGTGGACTGACCAACACTTGTTATTGGTTAGGGAAATACACATCTGATCCAGAATTCTGTATTTGTTCATTGCTTGTTGAAAAGATTTACTAAACAAATTTAACTAAATTCTTTGGTGTGGACATTTACTGGTCTTTTGAGTATTATGAACACTGCACACACCCCGTGGGGGGGTGAGAGTTTTTTCCTCCAAATAGCAAAAAACTCCTTCAGTAGTTATACAACTTTACAGAAGTTTTGACTTTTTCTTATAAATTTACAGAGACCCAACATTTCCGTGGGGAAAGTGGCAAAAAAAAACCAAAACTCCCTTTTAACAGATAAAAAGTCACAGATCCAGCAGTGCCTGCAGAAAGCATTATAAATAAATCCAGGAAGAGGAAGTGTTTTTAAGTGGAGGGTGTGGCCTGTGTGAGCCTCTTTGAGACCATGCGGTTAGTTCAGGTGAGTTGGTTTGTTTGTATTGCTCTGAATTGGTCTGTAGTGTGTCTCTGACTGTCTAGGCGAGTTTGTTTGTTTTAGGTGAGTTGTTGGAGAGTGGGGGAGTAGGGGGAGGTAGAGCACAGCCTAACCCGGCGGGGGAGAGCTAGCCCAAACAGGCACCTCTCCCTGACTCTACCTCCCTCATTCAAAATGGCCGCCATTTTCTCCAACTGGTTAGGGGAGTTTGTTTGCTGAATCTGCTGGTGTGTTTTGTCCTAGTTGATGATGTTGTGTGTGGTAGCATAGGCAAGATAAAGGAGAAAATAGTGGTGGTGTGAGGAGCAGTGATGGCTGGCATTAGGGGAGTGACTCTGGGACACCAGTGATCACTGTCTAGCCTCCTGGAGGTGTCGTGGGACCAACTAGACGAAACACTGGTGAAAGGAGGTTCCCACCTGATGACCCCAAAGACATGTTAGTTATCACTGCTCATTAGTCTGTGTAGCTGAATTAATAGTTATCATAGCGCTTAGGGAGTTATTCACTGAGTCTGGTCCAGTTTTTACAGCACAAGCTTCTTGTGTTTATCCTAAAACACAAGGAAAAAGGTCTGTGGATAGAAAAATAAACTTTTCACCTTTAAAATATGCACATGTATATGATAGTACACACACACACACACACACACACACACACACACACACACACACCTTGCCATAGGCTCCTTTTCCCAGCACAGTAAGAAGCTCAAAGCAGTCTGGTCCAACTATCTCACTGTCTCTGTTGACACTCTCACTGGTCAACTCCACCTCCTCCTTCTGAACACTGGGAGAAAGGATGCGAATGACATACAACAAGGTCAACAGCGGGGTCTCAGAAGTCTGTGCCACTGTGTATTTGTATATTGAAGAACATCAGGGTATATGTGTAAGATTTAATAATAATAAATTCCACTTACTTCTCTGGTTCTGTCACAGTGAAGTCACAGACATCATCCTACAGATGAGGATTGTTTTAAACAAAAATCTGGTTAAACACCATAATTTTTAACTCAAAGGGCTGTAATCATTTGCATAATTATCAATATCTAAAATCACAAAAGAGCTTAAAACCTATTCAAATTACATCTTATCTTACAAACCCATGAAACCAGTAATAAAATATTGACGGAAATTCACATTTTTTTCCATCTCATCCTGGTGTATTTCAGTTATCTATTTGATCAACAGTTGTCTTGGCAATGATTATGGGATACAGACCTCTGTATCACTGATGTCCTCAGTCTCCAAGTCTATGTCAAACACTCCTGCCATCCTGAAAGAGAGACAGTGCAGTCAAACAGTTCAGGCTCATATTTTAACCTCAATGAGGAATGTCGTATTGCCCTTCAACTCAAAAACACATTAGAACCTAGTCTTGTCAGCAGAACAGTGAACATTACAAGAGCACTACAGCTGCCCATATGTCTACACTCAGTCTACAATCTGGAGTGAATTTTATTCACAAGGAAAATATTCTTGTGGTCATTATTGGTTGGTTTTCTGTGCATTATGAAATTCCGGGATAGCCTACTTTATAAGTCTTTCAGAGAGACTACTGGAGTCCCTGTACCAGAGAACCGCCTATCCTAGCCTATCCCAGCCTTGTAGATGGCCCACTGTTGAAAAACATGCGTTTAGTAGACAACAGAAGGGGCAGAGTCCAAACTCAAATAACTTGGCCCACTTAAGACGTAATGTTAGCGTAGCCTCCGCCGAGCAGTTGTTTCAGCAATTAAGCACAGTTACATCTTTGTGGTTAAAACAAACCATGACAACGGTGTTGGAGTTCTTGTCTGTCTTGGCTGTGTGGCTTCAAGTAACGCTAACGGCTAATAAATACGTGTCGCTTTCAAATGATTTAAGATGGTAGCTACCTTAAACTCTCACGTTAGCATGCTAGTTAGTCAGAAGACTACCAACATGTGAGTGACCGTGTCAACTAATGTTGTAGTTTCAAAGGGCTGACTGACTCCCACAATTGGTCGGCAAGCTTATGAGGGTGCTACTTCTTCCTAAACATCTCACACTGGTTACAACTCGCTAGAAATGTTAAATGTCATATGATCACGTTGACAGTCTAGGCTGACAGCTGCTTTGACAAACAGAAAGCTGCTAAACATGCTAATGCTAACTAGCGTTGCACCTGCTAACGCTGCTTCATCCGGTGTTTCCTGATTTCAGTCTGTAGTCCGATGGTTTTTCATACACCAACGGCTGTGGCTGTCATTGCTCTTGTTACACTTCCATCAGCTAACCGGCAACAACAACACACAGCGGTGACCGGGTTCTGGACATGCTCCTCTATCCAGCCTGAAATATTCGTGCTGCTGCTGCTGCTGCTGTTGTTGTTGTTATTCTTGTTCTTCTTCTTTGGTGTTTAATGGCGGTTGGCAAACCAGCTTATATGTGCATTACCGCCACCGATTGGACTGGAGTGTGGATCAGGAGCTATGCATGGAGAAAAAAAACAAAAAACTGTATACTTTTGACTAAACCAGTTTCATTTATAAATTTGATAATGTCACCATATAGCTTTCTTGCAGAACTGTCAATGAAATATCATTATATTTTCTCCTTCTTATTGACTGGAAAAAGGTGATTTCCCTCAATGTTGTATTCCCTACAATGAAGCAGTACATGTTCAACTGTTTCTGGTTGGTTACAATGAATGCATTTCCCAGTTGGGTGCTTGCCTATTTTATGTACTGTATAGTTGAGTCCTGTATTCTTAAACAAGTGATGATATTTTCTTCCCTTCTTCTCCTGCTCGCCACCCTCCCAGTACCAACGTGTTTCTGTATATTATGTAAATGCCCTCCAGTTTCACTGTCATTCATATGTTCTTGCCATACTGATTGTTTATATGTCTTAAGGAATGTTTTAGCTTTGGCTTTATTTAATGGGACTTGAAGCCCTACTTTTATAATTCTGAGTGTTTACTTTGCAAGAATGTCTACTTCTCCATTTCCCTCTACGCCAACATTAGCAGGAACCCAGAGGAAGTGTGTAGATAGATCCTTCATTTCAATTCTGTACTGTTCTAAATGATCTGCTTGTTTGTATGCTTGTAAGTGCTGAGTAGCTATCAGATGCAATTACTGTGTTGTTTAACTCTTTCTCCTCTATCTACTGCAGGGCCAATAATATTGCCAATAGTTCTGTCGTATAAACTGACACATGATGTGTCACTCCCTTTTGGTTTACGTTTTACTCACCAAGATAAATACTGCTGCAACTGCACAGCCTGTAATTGGATCTTTGGAACTGTCTGTGAATATAAATACAGAATCTGAGTAATGGTTAGTGAAATATTTCTGGACTGTGTACCATACAGGGAGTTGATCTGACTTATTTTCCAGCTTTTTCCATATATTGAGGTCAATACTGGGCAATGGGAATAACCAGGTAGGAATGGAAGATATTGAGATTGGTGTAACCCTAGGCTTTCTGCCTTCATAGTTACCTATCCATCCAAAACGGATGAAATCGGTCTCATTATGTTCCCAGCAGTCTTTAAAACATTTTTAGTAGGATGTTTGTCACATTGTCCCCAGAGATTAACCCAATATGCCAGCATTAACTTCCCTCTTCTGATCCTTAAAGGCATTTCTACCATTTATACCTGCATAGCTGATACTAGAGATGTTTTAAATGACCCACTACAGACTCTCACGGCCTGAGCTTGTAACATGTCCAATGTTTTGAGGTTTGATTCTGCTGCCGACATGTAAGCTATACATCCATAGTCAAACACAGATCTCATTAGTGCCCAAAACATATTTTGAAGAGATGCTATATTTGCTCCCATTCCTGTCCTGATAAACATCAAAGTGTATTGATGACCTTTTTACCTTTGTTCTTAACTCTATCTAGATGAACCTTCCATGTGAGCTATTCATCAAACCAGACTCCAAGAAATCTAATAGTTTTCACTTGCTCAACAGGTTGTTCATACAATTTTAAGGAGATGGGTGCTATTTGATGTTACTTTGAGAAAAAAAAATTACCTGTGTTTTTGCTACAATTTAAAGCCGCAGTTAACTGCCCATTTCTCCACTTTATCTATTGCATCTTGCATTTTCTTATTGACATAAGATGTATTGCAGCCTCTTATCCACAAAGCCCTGTCATAGTTTCATAGATCTTTCTGCACTGATCTCCTGAAAAGCTTTCCAGTCTGCTTTTGCCAATTTCCAACTAGGAATTTTCTTTCCCTTATCACTACAAATCTTTGTTCCAACCTTAGGTACTACTGGGTAGTGGTCACTCTCTATTGTAGTATGCTTTATCACACTCCATGTGCTTACCCCTGCTATTGCACTAGACACAAGCATCAAGTCAAGTATGGTCTCTGTGTTGCATGTGCTATTATATCTTGTACCTTCCCCATTATTAATACACACCAAACCATGATCATCAACAAATTCTTCAATAGCTAATCCATTTGTGTGTGTGTGCTATTGCTCCCCCATAATGAATTATGTGAATAGAAATCCCCACCCCATATTACACCATCTGTAACGGGGTATGATAGGACCCACGTGCAGCACAACCAAACAGAGGGATAGTTGGAAATGACTTTTATTGAAATACCAGCAGAGAGAACACACACAGGTGGGTATGAGGGGTTGAGGATGTGGTCTGGGGCTGGAGAGCCGGGGGTCCGGGGCTGGAGAGCCGGGGGTCCGGTGAGTGGAGCGAGGTGACTGCGCTCACACACACAGGGGAAAGTTCTTGGACCCGAAGGCTGGGGCTGGCGGTGCCGAGCGTTAGGGAGCAGGCTGGAGATGTCGTCGAGGGAACTGGAAAACGCCAAACAGCCATAGGGATGAGCAGACGGGAACCAGGAATCGCACAGGCAGAACTCGTGGTCGGGGACAGAAGGCTGAGGTATTTACCGGGGCAGAGACGAGGCAGGATGGTCAGGGGCAAGCAGAGTCGAAAACAGGAACGGGCATAATCGCTGGAAAGTCAAGCATGATGCTGAGAACAATCTGGCAAGAAGTGAGTGAACTGGGGATGTATATATAATGGTCTGATTGGGGATCGACTGCAGCTGCGGGCAACAGGTGAAGACAGTGAAGCTGATTAGGAGGTGTGGCAGAGTGGAGAGTGAGAAATCGGCATAGCAGGCTGTGACACTATCTTGCAGTGGTCCCCAAACATCCTCTAAAATTCTGATTTTGTTTCCCACATGGGTCATAATAGTTAATTATATCTACTTTACCTCTGTCAGTCCATATCTTAATCACAATTGATTCATGCTCTGTGCCTGCCTGCATAAACTTATATATCATTTCATTTTGCATGAATGTTGCAACTCATCCTCCTTTACCAGATTCCCTGGCTCCGCTAACTGTGATATAACCCTTTATTATAAAATCTAATGGTGGTTTCAACCATGTATCTGGATTATTTTATAATTTTTTTCTTTAGATTTCTCTCCCAAATTATTTATATAGTTCTTAAACTCTTGGCCATTTGCAATTAAGCTTTGCAGCACTGTTTCCCAGAGAAGTCCTTTCACATCAAGAAACTTCTCAGCTGATTTGACAATTATTTTGATCCTTTCGTTTCGTGCTGAACAATTGATTTTCTCCGCCATAAACAGCACAAAGTCATTCTTACTCAATATCAGAGTTTCTTCATTCAGCTTATCACATCGTTCACATTTATCTGTATCTTTGTCCCTAATGTCATTTTGTCTTGGCACTTGCACATTTCCTGACACCTTTTTTACTGCCTCAGCAAAGCTGATTCCCTGAGCCACTTTGACTCGTCTCACCTCAGTCGCTCTTTTGCTAACCTCACGCCCACCGTAAGCTGAGCTACATTCCCCACCATAATTACAACACTTCAGCTTTGCACCTTCTGCACATTTGCCATACTCTGCTACTATGCTCTCCACTACTTCTGCTACATCTTTGGTCTCCCTTGAACACCGCCGCCACATGTCCAAATCTCTGCCATTAACACACATATCCAATAAAGATCTTTACCGGGAGACGTTCTTTATCAAACGGAAAAAAAAAAAAAACAGAAATATTTACTGGAATCCCTGTGATGACGCCTCTGACTAATTTCTTGTCACTAGCCAAAGAACATACCACTTTTTATCACTTATTTTGTTCAATCTGAGTGCTCTCCCTTGCTGTTCTCCATTCCTACACATAACCAACAATGATCCATTTCTCCCGCCACCTACTTCCATCTCTCCTAATTCGCTTCCTGTTCCGTCACTTCCGTCAGCCATCTCTTGTCCACTCACAGTCCAGTTGTTGCCAACTGCCCTGCCCCCTCCTTGTGCTCTTGTTGTTGCTGGATGGACCTTTAACCTCCTACGTCAATTATTATTGTTATCATTCTTGTACTACTAGTGCTACTACTTATCATTATTATCATTATCATTATAATTATTATTATTATTATCAGCATTTTTATCTAATTTCTTTCTTTTTTTCTTTTCTTTTTAACACCCAAATCACCCACCCTGAGGGTGTAGCCAGACATCTCACAGACACAAACCAAAACTATCAACATGGTCAGATAACTCTGGGGTTAAGTAAAAAAAGAAACTTTCAGTCAGGATTAGATTTTCTTTTTGTTTGCCAGTTCTTCTTCTGTTTACCATTTCTTTGTGGTGGAAAACTGGATACAGTTTAGTATGAAAAAACTGGGATCACGACTGGCCTCCAACACTCCACTAAAAACCAAAACATCAAAATTGTTCAAACAAGCTCCAGACACTTCCTGACTTACATGCCCTTTGAACTTTTATTACTGAAAAAAGAGGCTGAATAATTTTCTGCAGAGCCGAAGATTAATATACATTTTATATTTGTACAAAAAGTTATACTATAAACTACCAACTAGTTTGATCGCAATTTTTTAATTCATCACTATCTCACTTCACTGATCCAAGTGCCACATCTGATTTTAAAGTATGTTTGCTAACTTTTCATCGACTATCACACCATCTGATTAATGTGTGCCCTCAGATCAAAGTGTGCTATTACCTACTGACCAAGAATGAAGAAAATGAATTAGCATCATCCTATCGAGCTCTTCCTCATGTAATTGGGAAAGCTATACAGAGACCATCAAACGTAACCTGTCATATCAAACCTAGCACTGTCTGCAGGGAAATGGAAGACAAAAGAGACCCTTCCTCACGGCATGAACATCATTATTTCTGCCAGACATTCTTTTGATTAAGAACTAAACAGGTCGCAGAACCTGAGGGGTTGGCTATATGCTGTATTTCTCTTCCGCCATTGTCTCTTTGGTTTTAACATGGGCATGTTTTGCAGTTTTGTGGTTTTCACTGCCTTTGAAGTCA